TTCCCTTTAGGATTACATAGTCCTTTAAGATTAAATGTTTTTTGTTAGGATTTAATATTCTAAAGCAGAAATTGTCCAGAGAGATGTTTTTATATTAAACCTTAGTAATGGTATTTTGATTTGTGATAAGAAGCATTCAGAAAGCACCAAGCAGATTACTAGACCCTCACAAATCTGGCAACATCTGTGTCTGCTGTCTATTGCAGGGTGTTTCTGAGCAAGATTCCTGAAACAGAATGTCTAAGGAGGACTCTTACTAGGCATTCGAAAGTGTGCCCCCTGAATGGTAGTTAACAGTGCAGGAGAGGGCAGAAAGGGCATCTGTTTTCAATTGTGATATAAAGTCTTGCTAAGGTCTACAACAGATCTGGAGACCACCCTGTGGGAGGCAAAGCAGTTCTGTGCTGGCTGGGTATCACAAATGCTCTCTCGATCCAGGGTTCTGGCTTGTTATTTGCTGGCAACTCATCAGGTCTCTGTTGTACATTTTCCAAAATATGCAAGAAAATCTAAAACTGTAACAGCATTCTTCCCTGCCCCATCTGTATATAAACTCTTATAATCCTTCAGAGCAATTATTTTATTAAAGATGAAGGAAGTTGTTACTGTCTTCATTCATACGTGCTTTCTTTCAAAGCAAATTCAATTTTAGACTATAACACCAGGTGCCATTTTCCTAAAATACTACTAGCATCCTATCCTGTGGACGGGACATCTGAGGCTTTGAGGCAGGACATATCACATAGACTTTAGAACATGAATCTTCTCCAGTGTGATTCTTATAGATAACTACTGATTCTGATCCTGGAATCATGACACAGATTCTGAGATCTAGGTGAGCATGGCCTATACATTTAAACTGTAAAAGTTGTTGAATAAATTCACTTGTGTAACGACTATCTGTTAGCTCTAAACTTGCCTTCCCCCTGAGTTCCCTACCCCATATGGGGCTCCTGCCTTAGGCCCATTACAGCAGCTGTTCTGAAATGCTCTTCCCCCTGATCTTGACATGGCTGGCCCAGCTTGTTATTCAAATCTCAGATGTCACAGCTATAAGGAGACCTTTCCTCAACTTCAGTCTAGAGTAACTCCCCCACCTATATATTCTCTCTATCCTATTTTATTCTTCCCAACAGTTAACATCTAATTTTTTTTCTTTATTTTATTTTTCCCATCACCAATTATCCCCCCAATACCCTCTTCCACCTCCATCCACCACACTCCCCCTGGCCATCACCACACTGTTGCCCATGTCCATGAGTTCTTTCCCTTTTTTTACTTTTTTGCTCAATCCCTCCACCCACCCCCCAACACCCACCACCACCACCAGAGCTGTCTGCCTGTTCTTTATCTATGAATCTGTCTCTATTTTGTTAGTTCAATTTTTTCATTAAATTCCACATATAAGTGAAATCATATGGTACTTGTCTTTCTCTGACTGGTTTATTTCACTTAGCTTAATGTTCTCCAGGTCTATCCATGCTTTCACAAAGGGTAAAGTTTTCTTCCTTTCTGCAGCTGAGTAGTATTCCATCATGTAAATGTACCATGGCTGTTTTATCCACTCGCTTACTGATGGGTACTTGGGCTGCTCCCAAATCTTGGCTATTGTAGATACACTGCAATAAAAATAGGGGTGCATATATTCTTTCGAATTAGTGTTTCAGGATTCTTCAGATAAATTTCCAGAAGTAGAATCAGTGGGCCATAAGGTAGTTCCTTTTTTTATTTTTTGAGGTAACTACATGGAATGCTGCACCAATCTGCATTCCAACCATCAGTGCACAGGGTTCCCTTTTCTTCACATACTTGCCAACATTTGTTTTTTGATTTGTTGATGCTAGCTATTCTAACAGGTGTGAAGTGATGTCTTATTGTGGTTTTAATTTACATTTCTCTGATGATTAGTGATGTTGAGCATCTCTTCATATGTCTATTGGCCATCTGTATGTCCTCTTTGAAAAAGTGAGTATTCTGGTCCTTTGCCCATTTTTTAACTGGGTTGTCTTCCTGGTGTTGCATTGTATAAGTTCTTTAAAATTTTAGAGAGTAACTCCTTTAGCTTTTTCTTGTCTGGGAAGCTCTTTAAATGACAGCTTTGCTGGGCAGAGTATCTTGGTTGTAGATCCCTGTTTTTCATCACTTTGAATATTTTATGCCAATCCCTTCTGGCCTGTAGAGTTTTTGTTGAGAAATCAGCTGGCAGTCTGTGGGAGCTCCCTTGCAGCTGTCTTTCTCTTACAGATGTTGTTATACTTCATGTTATCCCAAAATCCCTTAAATTAACCTCCTTTTTTTTATTAATTCACTTTTCTTTTTGCTGCTCAATTGGGTGTGTTTTTTCTACCTTATCTTCCAAATCACTGATTCGATCTTCTGCCTCATCAAGCCTACTACTTATTCCTTCCAGTGTAGTTTTTATTTCAGCTATGGCATTTTTTATTTCTGCCTGGTCCTTTTTTATGGTTTCTATGTGCTGTTTCATGTGTTTGGCATCCTTAAAATCATTACTTTGAACTCTGTAACTAATAAGTTGCTTACCTCTATTTTATTTATCTCTCCTTCTGGAGAAGTTCTTTCATTTGGGTCCTGTTTCTTTCTCCCCCCCATTTTGGCTATCTCTTTGTGTTTGTTTCTATGTATTAGGTAGATCTGCTATGACTCCCAATCTTGGTAGGGTGGCCTATGTAGGAAGTGACCTGTGAGACCCATTGCACAGTCTCCCTGTTCACTTGAGTTGGGGGCTCTAGGAATGTCCCTTAAGCGCATTACATGGGCCCTCCTGATGTAATTGAGTTTTGATTGCTATTGGCCCATCATGTGTGGGATAGATCCTCAGGCTGGCCGACAGTGAGGCTCAACCCCCAACACAACATGCAAGCTGCTGTGCAGGTGCTGATAACAGGAAGCAGAATTTGCCTCAGCAGAGTTCAGTGCCTGCCGATATCTCCCTGTGAATATACTGCTTGTGAAGCTTATTAGATCCTACTCTGTTGTTATCTGAAGCTGACCACTAGGTGTATTGGTTCTGGGCCTCTTCTGAGGGACTCTGGTGCAGGTCAGTGTCACACAATGTCTGTGACTGGCCCTACGCAACCTATCTGGAGCTATCAGCAATCCACAACTTGTGGCTCTCTCTGCTGGACCTGGGTGCATGTGGAAAGGACCACACTGCACATCAAGGTCTGCTTTTACTAGCACCAGGCCCAGGGATAGGTCAGCAAAAGTCTCAAAGGACCCAGAGATCCTCCTTTGCCTGTAAGCTGTCTATTAGGCTCAGTCACTTAAAGAGCCTCAGGCTGTACTCCTCAGCAGGACATGAACTCCACAGGGTGGGGCAAGAGGGATTCCAAGGGGTGAGGATATTGTTTCCTTCCAGGTTGATGTGCATGGAGAGGAGCGCTTTGCCTGACAAAAATGGCTTCTGAAGTATGGGGGAATTACTCAGCACAGGGATCCTGGCAGCTGACCTGGCAGCTCTCTCCCCATAGCCATCAACCCCAGATTCTCCTCACACAGCTCTAGCCCACTCTGCCTTCCCTCCACTGGAGCCAAGGATAAGTGGCTGTGATAGAAATTTTGTGCACTGGCCCTTTAAGAGGATAACTGCATTACTAGCAGTCTCTCCCTGGCAGATGGAAATCCCACTGCTTTTCACAGCCAGGTGTAATATGGGTGTCTTTCCCAGTTCTGGTACTCTGGGCTGGGTAGCCCAGCTTGTGGTTTATGCCCCACACTTCTCAGGGGAACCCCCTCTGCAGCTGATACATCCCTCTGGAACTCTAGCTGCTGCCTCTGCATGCGCAGGCAGTCCTCTTGTGCCTCTGTACCTCCTACCAGTCTCAATGTGGCCTCTATGTAAGTCCTTGTTATAAGGCTTCTTTCCAGCTAGTCTTCAGTTGGTTATTCAGGATTTTTTTTCTATACTTTAGTTGTAATTTCAGTTTGGTCTCGAGAATAGTTGAGTGTAGCTTCCACCTAATCTTCCACCATCTTGGGTCTCCCCCAATTTTCTTATGTGTTCATTTATTTGTTGGCTTGTGGTCATTTCTCTCCACTAGAAGTTAAGGGTTGGGAGATCAAGGACCTTGTCTAATTTCTTCACTATTGTATATTCAGCAGCTAAAAGATGGTTTGGCACACAGATGGGACTCAATGAATATGTATTGAATGAATGGTTCAGTTTCTTAAGTTTATAACAAACCTGCACCAAATCTTCGCTAAGTATTCTGTGGGACAAATGCAATAGAGCAAGTGAAGACTTACTATTTTGGCAATTTATGCTTACTATCATCTTCACCAGAACAAAAAATGGGAATAGTTTACTAAAAGAAGGTTCAGTAAACTCCAGTGTCTAAAGTGTGCCTAATACCCATTATCACAGATGACAGAATTGTTTATATTGTATTTTGCTTCACAGATGTGGGAGAAAAGAGATTTCTAAAACAAACAAAATGTGTTTCAAATAAAAGGAAGGAACAGAAAATAGATAATCATAACCAGTTATTTTTTTCTTTTAGACAATCTTTGAAACAAAAAGATTGTATCACTTCCGCCTTACAAAGATGGCTACATAGATGATCAGAACTCCTCTCTAATCAATGAATTAAACCAGGACACAAACAATTGGTCATTATGTTGTATCTCTAGTGGGAAAGAATGAGAAAGAGCCTATGACTGGCGCCATTTTCCTGATAAAAGCTGAAAGCAGCAGGTCAACAATGGATGGACATGTCTATCCAATCTCTAAAAGAGCCCTGGTGATTTTTTGTTTGTTTTGTTTTGTTTAAAGAGGGAATTTATTAGAATACAAAGATTCTTGCAGAGAATCCCACAGCTGTAATGAGGTAACAGCTAGAATCACACCTTTCTGAAGGGCAGATCATGTTATAATCATAACTTCTATTTCTGGGTTTTGCAAGATCACCAAGAGAATATCCCAGAGGATGTTCCTCCCTCTATTGTGCAAGGGACTAGAATGTGGATTCATTCCTGAGGGACTAGAATGTGGATTCATTTCTGCTTGCTTTTTGGTCCTTATATTCCTTTATGCTGGCCTCAAACTTGTCAAGCACATGTTGGCAGACATTCAGGAGCTCATTCAGGCCTCTCTGAAATGGCTCAACAGCTGGAAGAGCACCTCGAGTCTGAATTCGTAAATTAATTTTACTCTCTGAAGGATGGGTTGTAGTGTAACCACAAAAATTCCACTTCCGGGTTCTTCATGATCATGTAATGAAGAGAATTTACTAGGGTATGGTCCTCCTCATGCAAAACAAATGTCACACAGTGTCTATCTGTTCCAGCTGCCTGAACCATTTCCAGAGCTGTCTTCCTCTCGCCTTCAGCCATTGAGGTCTTCAATCCAGACATTTCTCTACATACATATTTTTTATAAAAATGAGATCATACTTTCCAACTCTTGGTCCTCTTCCATCACGGGGATGGCTTCCGGGATATTCCGGTGGAGCTGGCGTCCCTGCCCCATATAGCAAAATGTGCGAGAGAAGCAGGAAGGAAGGAACAACCGACCACAGAGTCCCACTGATTTAATTTTAAATTCTGCACTCAAGAGCTGATAGCCTCCTGATTACCTCATCTTCTGCTAAGAGTGATGCCAAAAGCACTGCATAAGATAGCCATCTAGCAACAAACAGTAGTTCTTATTGAGCACCTGCCATATGTTCCACACCATACTGCTTGAGGCAGAAAAGACATGTGAACAGAAGCCCCTGCTTTGGGGAACTTGCAACTCAGTTAAACAGACAAAACAAACTATGCGACCATTGGACAGTGACCAACTGTAGCAGATATCCAAGTGCTGGAAATGCTAAAGGCGCACTAAGAAGACAGGTTTTTGTGGGGGAAGAATAGTAGTGAGAGGTGTCATGGGAGCTTCCTTGCTGCAGACAGGATGGGCTACAGGCCCAGGCTGGGAACCAGCAGGGTGTGTTTATGTGCCTGAAGAGAGCAAACTGACCAGAACTTGGGTCAGCCTCTTGAGGGGTCTATCCTCATAGCTGAGGTTTTAATATCCCCTCGTACACACTACACAAAGTTGAAAACTAACAACCTGTGATCCATATCTAGCCACAGTGGTGCTTTCCTGATCCACATACTGTTTTCTAAATTTTATGTAAGAATCTGAATTTCTGTTTTCCCTTGAAAAACTGGAAGGCCTGGCAGCATTGAAGCACTGCGCAGCAATGGTTAGCTGGAGCTGAGGAGCTGCTATCCCTTTTACACATAGCACACACACTATTTCCACACTGTTCCCACCATTTTGATGCTCAGCCTGCCTCACTAGTTTACACACCTGCCTGATCCCTGCAGGCATCTACGTGTGGGCTCTTGTCCCATAAAACTCTGTATAACAGGAATTGTTGGTTAGAGTGGGAAGAGTGGGCAAATCAAGTGGGTTTTCATGCCATAATGCACCACTGTTACTATTACTAACAAATGCCACCTTACTGTGGCGCACTGATAGTTCTGTATTGAACTAAAGTCTATCTTCATGTAACCTCTACTCTTTAGTCTTTGTTCTGTTCCTCAGACATATGAAACGTAAGACAGTCCTTGAGTGATTTGAAGAAAACTCTCATGTCTTATGCTTTTTATATAATGATGAGGATCCACTATGTGCCAGTTTTAATATTGAAGAAACAGCAATGAATAAGATAAGCTCTTTAATCTCAAGAAGTAATAGTCTAACAAAGTGGTCGGTAAACTCATTAGTCAACAGAGCCAAATATCAACAGTACAATGATTGAAATTTCATTCGAGAGCCAAATTTTTTAAACTTAAACTATATAGGTAGGTACATTGTTATTAACTTAATTAGGGTACTCCTAAGGCTTAGGAAGAGCCACTCTCAAGCGGCCAAAGAGCTGCATGTGGCTCGTGAGCCACAGTTTGCCGACCATGGGTCTAACAAAAGACAAGTGTTGGTGTGGATGTGCAGAAATGGAAACCCTTGTACACTATTGGTAAGGATATAAATTGGTACAGTCACTATGAAAAACAATATGAAGGCTCCTCAAAAATAAAAATATAGTATATCCTAAAGAATTCAAATCAGGATCTCAAAGAGATATTAGCATTCCCATGTTCACTATAGCACTATTCGCAATAGCCAAGATGTGGAAGCAACCTAAATGTCCATCACTCCCCCTACGTTCACCTGAAAGAAAAGAGGCCATATCCTTCCCTATTACTCATAAATTGAGCACTTCATTTAATTGTCTTTTCCATTAAGGTAGTGTTAGGTATAAGAGTAGAGGTTTCAAAAAGATATCTCAAATCCTAAACTGCAACTCATTAGTTGTTTGATCTTAAACAAGTTTTTTGAACTTTTAAAGCTTCAGATTCTTCAACTATAATTGAAAAAAATTAAATAAAAAATATTATTCAGTCTTAAAAATGAAGGAAATTCTGCAATATGCAACAACATGGATGGACCTTGAGGACAACATGCTAAGTTAAATAAGCCAGACACAGAAAGACAAATACTCATGATTCCATTTATATAGGATAGCTGAAATAGTCAAATTCATAAATGCAAAGGCTGGAATGTTGGTTACCTAGGGCTGGGGAATGGAGAAACGAGAGTTATTAATCAACAAGCACACAGTTGTTTGTCAAGTAATTTGAATAAGCTCTAGAGATCTGCTGTATGACATTATGCCTATAGCCAATAATGCTTTTGAGAGGACAGATCTCACATAAAGTGTTCTTACAACAATAAAAAATAAACCAAATTTTTAAAATAAATGAAGTAATCATCTACTAGAGAGAGATCATTTAAATAAGTACAATGAGGGCAATAGTACAATTAAGTACAACTCCTCACAGCTAAAGTGGAGGCACAAAGTCAAGAGGGTGTCCTGATCTGGGTTAACCTGAATACAGAGGCCTCAGACAAAGATTTGAGTGCAGGTAGCAGAAATCCAGGAAACTGGAGCAAAAGAGGAACGAAAGTGAGACAGGAAGGGAGAAAAGCCAGTGAAGGGCACTTAATGAGCAGGTTACACCGAGGACACATTGCTTGGGGGTTTCTGTGAAGAACCATATAGAAGGTGCCTCAGAATTGGCTCAACAGAAGATGGGCATTTATCTATGATGTTCCCATTGTTTGAGTGTTGCCCCCAGGGGGTTAACATCTCCACAAATTTGTGCCTGGGCAGTGACTTTGGAGAATGCCCCAAGAAAACAAAGATGGCACCACACAGCTGCTAGCTTGGCATGGACTGCTGGCAGTGCTGAATCAGGTGGGCCAAGGGGATGGGACACAGTGATCATGACCTTCATGGAGGAAGTGAAACCAACTGATTCTTAAAAGGTAAGTAGGTGTCCAACAAACCAAGTATAAGGCTGGGTAAGGTGCAGACAAGAGGATTAGAAAATTAAAGTAGAGAAACATCATGAGGAAAGACATGGATATTAAAAACCATGAGGTGCTTTTAGAAAATTCCTAGTATCTGGCTGTGGTTGGAGCAAGAAATGCAGATGAAGAACAGACATAACAGGAAACAGCGTGAGAGAGAAAATTGAAGAGGTAGGCAGAGGCCAGATCATGAGGGCTTTGAAGTAAGGTGTTTAGATTGTAGATAAGTGGTTCTTGACATTTTAAGGGCTATAGACCCTTGAAAATCTAATAAAAGAGGGATTTCAAAAAGACACCTCAAATCCTAAACTGCAACTTAGTAATTGTTTGATCTTAAGCAAGTTTTCTGAACTTTCAAAGCTTCAGTTTCTTCAGCCAAGATTGAAAAAACTGGACCCTCTCCCCAATCTGAATGCACAAATATTCAAAATTTTATAGGTAGTACAATATATACACAGATTCCATAATGCTATCCTTGAATCCAGGTTCAAAATTCCAGCTAGAAATTAGAAAGCATTACCGCCATTACGTCAGTCAGGATTCTTGTTTGTAAACAACAAAAATCTATACCAGCTAACTTAATTGAAAAGGAATTTATCTTAAAGATATTAGGGAGCTCACGAAATCTATCAGGATTATGTATTCCTAGTCTCTATTGGAATGTGAGAAAACCAGGCGGGAAGGGGTCAGAAGCAATGGGAAGCAGGCAGTGAGGAACACTGCTAAAGTCTCTCCACAGTCTGGATATAACATTGGACTCTACTGTCAACAAAAACTGTGCCTACTAGACTCAAAGCCCCAGACATAGAATGTGCCAGGACACCAGGACGAACCTAGGACCTCTGCTCACCGCCAGGTGATAAGTGACCTGTGAGAGACAAATCTCACCCCTCAGCTTCTACCTCAGGAGACAAGACCCTCCCTCCCACCAACATGCACATAGCAAGTGATTTCCTTAGGAGAGAGGCCTGGATGCTAGGTAGCTAAAACCATAGCACCTGCCCCCAGCAGCAGTGAAACACCATGGCTCTATTAGCATTTAAGTCTTCTCCTCTCTTCCCTTGCATGACTGAATTTCAAGTCTCCTTCACTGATGATTCCTGTGAGCACACATGAGTCTGTGTATGCCCCTCTGAAAGGATGGTTTCCCATCCATCCTCAGAGAGTCTGAGGAGTGCTGGGCCTCCGTCTCCCTCCTTCTCAATACAGTGAGTTTCTTCAAGTAGCTTCATGTGGCCAAATGACATACACGTTGTCTAGGGATGGAGGAATGCGGACCCTGGTTTTCAGCTAATTAGCTTTGAAGTAATACAATATTTTGGGAATCAGACTTAACTTGGATAAAGACTTCATCTGAGGACCATTAAAACAAAATAAATAGATACGCGGGTCTGAGAGACGTGGAAATCTTTATCATGTAAGTGTATAATTAATCTTCTGAGACTCTCATACCCCGAAATACTTTCCAACTGTTCGGGTAGGGGACTAAAAACAGTTGTGGTTTTAGCTGTTTCTGCACAATCCTGTAGTTGCACGCCACTGGCCAATTTCTCTCAAACAGAAAGCAACACTGGGCTAACCCAGGAGTTGGTTTCCAAGAACAGCTAGCCAGAGGTAGATGGGGAAAACCACGTCAGAGTCCATTCCTGAGTCCTCTGTTTT